GCTGAATGTAATTGTCATTATTAGGTGGCAAGTTTCAGGGTCTGTCCCAGTCCAAGTGTAATTTATGGACTCAGTGTAAACTAGACATTACCCAAATACCTAAATACCAAAATGAGAATGGCTTCAGTGTCCTTGAGCATAACCTCATTAGTGTACAAATCAACCTTGTGTGCACTAGTATATATAGGCTACTCTTTTTATTTCCATAGCAATATATTTCTTTTTATTTATGGAGAAAATCAGAAGGTTCTGACATGAAGAGACATTAGGTAATCCCATGGGAAGAGTTTAGCTTTAGCTTTGCCGTTAAATAAAATAAACTTAAATGTGGGATGTCTTTCTGTGGTGTGGTTGCTGTATGAGGAGGCTCTGTTGTTGTAAAATAAATCTCCTCCCGTCGGCCTTGGTAAAGTTCAGATTGCTCTCCTAAGCAGGGGGCCCATTATCCGCTGAAACATAGACTTAATCAGAAACTTTTCCAAGAAATGAACTTGGACCTCGTAGGGTTGGACTTGGACTTGGACCACTCACCCCCCTCTTTTGAGAGCCGAATTGATAGCGTGCATGTTCAGGAAACATGTGGATCTACCTTTTATTAAGAGTAAACATTGTTGGTTCCCGTCCAGACAAAATGTCTGGTGCATATCCGCGATTCTCGTTTAATCTTTTTCCATCCCGTCAAGTTGGCTGAACCGTCATAAAACAATGGTAACCGGTGGAAAGCAGGTCACAGCCTTGTATTCTGTGATCTCATGCAGTTTCAGAGTTAACAAAGCACTTGTAATCTCACTTCTGTCCATTTGGCTGCTCCTTTTAGCATGTTTTCATAGAGAGGGTTAAAGTCTGTGCATCAAAGAAAGCATTGTGGGCTTTCACTTCGGTCAGTTTGAGTAGGCATCAAAAAATCTCATTTAGCTTCCACTTCATGGACTAATGCGCCAGTCATGCGTTATGCACAAACTCGTTTCCAAACTGCTCCTACTTCAGTTAGATGAAGTCTATTAAAAGTGTGACTTCATGGATATCCTTTGCGGTGTTTGTGAGAATGGGTGTTAGGCCTAGTGATAGCTCTCTTTTTACAAAGTGAGAACAAAATGACTGTAAATAAAGGATTAAGCCTAAGCATTCCATTACAGCCTAATTCATAAAGTACAATGGGCTATTACAATAAAATACTATTACTTAAAATAATCAAAAGTTTACAGTGAAAACTTAAACTACATCTAGATCTACATGGCTTTAATTGATGCAATAGAAAAGTTATCAAACGCACTGGACAATAAAAAATTTAAGAAACAATACTAAGAAACAAGAAAGGTAGCCTGTGGGATATGAGGGAGGGGTGGCTGGAAAGGGTAAAAAGTTACTTAAAGGGATACTTCACTTTTTTGGAAATAGGCTCATTTTACAACTCCCCCAGAGTTAAACAGTTAGGTTTTACTATTTTCGAGTCCATTCAGCCGATTTTCTGATATTTAGAAGAATATCAGTAACTAGAACGTTTCTGGTCCCATTGACTTCCATATAGGCCTATTTCCAAAAAAAGTGGAGTATCCCTTTAAGTGACAGAATGCAATATGTGCAGATGGGTAGGTTCTCACATTCTCATCGAACTATAGTGTAATTTCGTGTGGTGTCCCCCAGGGGTCAATATCAAGTGTGTTTTGTTTGCAGATGACACCAACATTTTCTACTGTGATGACACTTATGATAAGGTTGGTGTAGTAAATACTGAACTAAGGGATATTTAAAAAATGGAATGATAGATATAAATTTATCTTTAAACTTTAATCAAATTATAGCCATATTATTTGGCAATCATATAAAAAAAAATAGGAAAAAGATGATTGAGATAGATGGTCTACAAATCGACAATGTTTCTGAAATAACATTTTTAAGCGTAACAATAGAGAATAATTAACTTGGAAAACTCACATCGGACACAGAAACCTTTTGGAAGTCTCCAAAATGTCCTTTATTCCTACAATACATTCCGTACCTTGTTCTGTTCCCTGATTCTACCGTACTTAAATATCTTGGGCTGAATATCTTGAACATGCAAGTCCACTTTTTCCTCAAATCAAAGTAATACAGGACCTTGGAGTCTAAGGAAGTAGCCTTTGTTTTTCTTTCTTGGTTTTTTTCTTTTCTTTTTTTTTCAATGTAACAGTCCGTGTCTGACTTCCTTTACCGATATTGCTCGAAATCAAATAAATTAATTAAATAAATAAAATTAATTAATTAATTAATTCATTCATTCAGCTTGTTTGTCCATGTGACTCACACCGCCTATTAGCGAATATATCCAAAATCTAAATGACATGAGGAACATAATTATCCTCTCAGCACGCTTCTTCTACCAGTTGTAATGGTGTCAGTTTATCCACATTCAAGCAGCGCTTACACAGCTTACATGACCGGCTCATTTAGGTAGACTTTACCTGCTGGCTCGATAACACTTTCCCTCCCCCATGTCTAATCCAGACCATAGACCAGTGTTTACCAAACTTTTTTTCTGGGGACCCACATTTTAAAGTCGATAAATCCTTGTGACCCAATAAACATTAGGCCCATTTAGTTCATATACCACGGAGAGAATTTATGCATTAACAAATTATGTATGACCATTTTTAAGGTCAGTTAAGCTTCCAGTTAACTATTTAAAAGAGATACAGATATTTGACAAAGGACAATTTTTTTTATTAACCTGTTGTTGACAATAAGCGAAATGCAGAGGTGAAATGAGAAAGGAAGAGTTGACGGGGCATCTCACTGTTTTCATATTCTCAGCATTACAGTGTACACAATTTACTATAATAATTATTATAGGCTTAAATTAAAATATCCTGACAGTGAGACTTTGTAACCATGCATGACTCACTACCACTGTATAAAAAATGCCTAAACAGGCAAAAACCAAACAAAAAAAAAACTATACACACAATTAATTATATAGGCCTATTTCTCTACCCCCTTAATAAATCTATGCAATATAAATGACTATAACATAGTAGGCTATTCAAATATTCCACATTTATGCCCAAACCATGGTAAATTATTACATTCATAGGCTATTACATGGTACATGTTTGTAATGGTGGTGGTTAGGGCATTTAGTCTTCTAATTTTGTTCATGTTTCTGCTATTTACCTCATCAGTAGTGTTGGGAATGTTAAGGCTGTTTCATCCGATTTAAAACTAGTTAAAATCATTGAGTGATTTGTAGTTTGTAAGAGAGAGGAGTGTCCGATTGAAACGCTTCTTACTGGATGTCGCAACGCTGTTTAATAATAGTGTCCGGGACCGGGAGTAAACACAACTCCTTTAAGCTTTGCGTTTCGTTATCCACTGGACCGTGCTGCCTAGTTCAAAGTAAACTAGTGAAACGACTGAAACCAGCGCTATGTTGTTCTCTATTTGTTGTTACTGACCGAGAAACCGCTTCAGGTGGACAAATCCGAATCGTTTCAGACCGTTATGCACGCGCGTTTGGCCAATTCATGGAAAGGAAATAACCAAACCAACGAATGATTAATATCGCTGGTTCAGTCGACAGAAATACGGGACACACATAAGAACTGCTGAAATATTCGGACTGTAAACTTTTCTCTCAGGTCAGTCGGAGCGCTCATGATGGTACACACACACAGTGCGGATAGTCGCCCAGCTGCACGCGCCACTGCGGCCACGCGCGTATCTAACCAATTTAAAAAGCCGCACCACCAGAAAATAGGAGGCGGGAGGTTGGGGTGCCCTCGGCCGTATGGAGATGATTGGCGGGCCGCACTTCCGCGGGCCGCCAATTGAATAGCCCTGATCTAGATAGTAGCCTATAGAAAACTGAAAAATAGTGCTCGACTTGGCGACCCATACAAAATCTCCCGCGACCCACTTGTGGGTCGGGACCCCGCCTTTGGGAATGACTGCCATAGACTGTAAAAAATGATCCAGACTCGTCTCAGACTGATCAGAGCAATTCACACAAAGGCAAGCGGGCCTGAAGGGTCTTAAAATAAACTGGGCACCCCGGGCACACCCAGAACAGATTTCTGTGATTTTTTTTATTTATTATTATTTCATTAGCACAACACCGCAGGTGAAAACTTTGGAATAATTTTTTCCCAATTATTAATTCTTATTAATTAAAAAAAAAAGTCTTTGAAAAAAAAAAATCGTTTTTTTAATTACATAAAAATACTGTAAAAACAGAAATAGGCCCTATTGTGAAATATTATTTAATTTTAAAAGGAACTTTTTTTCTATGTATGTTCATATGTATATTTTCAGTAGCATTGCAGTCTTCAGTGTCACATAATTCTTCTGTAATTATTCACATATTCAATGTGGATGGACATGCAACTTAATTGATCAAAATTGACGGTATGACATTTATAGTGGTGCAAAAGTTTCCTGTTTCAAATAAACGCTATTCTGTTCTATGATAACTTTCTGTAAAGAATCTGAAAAAAGTATCACGTTAAGCATCACACTTAAAACTACAGCTTTACTGTCACAATAATAATGAAAACAGTTCTTTTAAAATTGTATTAATATTTCAGAATATTACTGTTTTATTTCTGATCAAATAAATGCAGCCCCAATAAAATACTTAAAAAAATATTATCATTAATTAATTTATAAATAATATATTTGTTCATTACAAATTTTGAACGGTAATATAACTGAAAATATTAATTTAGTGTAATTAAAAATATAACCGTGCATGTTTATATTCTGGAATGATACTGATTGATGAGTAATTTCTCATTTATACAACATCTTTCTGCAGCGCTGCCACCTCGTGGTTATTCAAGAAAACAACAGCCTTTTTGATCCGTTCATTGAATTGCAATATTAAAACGAACTTACAAATATGTCGAGATGTGGATGCACATATATTATACACACATATATATGTATTTACAATTACAAACTATAAGATTTACATTCGATTAACTATAAAATATAAATGGCTTAATCGAACAGAATGAGAGAATCCATTGAATGAGACAGATAGCGTTTATTCATGGGTAGAAAGGATGGCTGTCGGTTTAAAAATCAATTAGTGCCCTTTTCTTTACACACAGTCCTGAAAATAACCAGAATGGAAAGAGCCAGAAAATAAAACAATTCATTTTGAGAGATGGCATATATAAAACATAACAGCAGATGTAACACATTTTGTCATAATGAAATTCAGTTTTTTCACAGTGATTGAATATATACATTCCCAAAGCTTGACTCGTTACACTGTAATAAACAAAGGAAAATACAATTCAAATTGTTGCAAAAGCCTTGTTATTATAACATATTTAATCAAAATGATACAAATGATATATGGAATGTAAAGGAAGACGTTGTCGAGAGCCAATCCCAGTTTTAGTTTCTTAAGTGCTACATTTGGCGAGTTAGTTTGATAAAAATTGTTCTCTGGATTTTAGATGGAACTACTCAACGTGATGTCACTCGTCTTTAGGATCGAAGCTGTTGCTTTAAATCAAATGAATCTCATTAGACTTTTAATTTAGAATACACTGAGGAATGTCAAAGCGGCCTGACCAAAATCTCCTTTTTATTTATTTACTAAAGAGAAAAATGGGCGGGTGGCCTGAAAGGTTTAAATCAGAATACACACAATACTATTTTTAAAGTAACATATTTGTTTAAAAATCAGGCAAAAAAAAAAAAAAAAGAGCATGTTTCCACAAAATGAGTGCATGAGGTTTAAATACAGCATAAAGTTGAGTTCATCCTCAGGGAGAAATAGATGTTGTAGTTAAGTTCTATCCGAGAACAGAAATATGTACAGGGTATCATGGACAGCAGCTGTGAAAGGCTTTGACTGATGTGCAGAAAAGAGCTGGTAGAGCAGATGGGTCCAGGACAGGGAGGGGGTTTACCAAAACCTTTGGATCACAGGCCAAAAGACATGAACACGGTTAGAGATCTTGACAGAACAAATGCACTTAGTGCAAACTATGGTGCCTCTTTCGTTCTATTATTCTGGACAAACACTTGATTGGATAACGTTAAAGGATTAGTTCACCCTTAAAGGGATAGTTCGCTTTTTTGGGTATGTTTTAGCTTACCTCAAGGGCATCCAAGATGTAGGTGTCTTTGTTTCCACAGTAGTTTTCAATTTTGATATTTTAAGGTCAAACCGTTCTTGTCTGTCAGTCATATAATGGAGGTCTATGGTCACCACCTCAAAGAGCATGCACAGAGAAGTCCAAATTAAATATGATTTAATGACTCGTAAATGTAAGTACACATTGATGGCCTAAGACACGAAACGAGCGGTTTGTGTGAGAAAACGAACAGGATTTATATCGTTTTTAACCCTTGTAACCACAGCCACGTTCAAGTGATCTTAAGGCACGGGTGCTTTGTGGGTAAAAACGATTTAAATACTGTTTGTTTTCGCACACAAACCGCTCTCAGTAAGCCATCAATGTGTACTTACATTTACGAGTCATTAAATCATGTTTAATTTGGACTTCTCTGTGCATGCTCTTTGAGGTGGTGACCATAGACCTCCATTATATGACTGATAGACAAGAACGGTTTGACCTAAAATATCAAAATTAAAACTACTGCGGAAACAAAGACACCTACATCTTGGATAAGATAAGCTTAAACATACCAAAAATTAATTAATTTCAAAGTGAACCATCCCTTTAAGACCATTCATATTCAGAAAACAAATGAAGATATTTTTGATGAACTCGCTTTCACTTCATATCATTAAGGTTAAAGCACTGTAGTCACATGGACAATGTTTTTACTACATTTCTAAGCCTTGAAAGTGCTAATAACATTGCAGTCTATAGAGGGTCAGAAAGCTCTGAGATTTCATCAAAAATATCTTTATTTTGGAACGACATGAGGGTGAGTAATTAATGAGGAGAATTTTAATTTTTAGGTGAACTATCAATTTAATAACAGTCCGAGTGTTGTGTGTGTAAACCCGGAATTTACAACACAAAGCATGCAAATCAAGACATGCAGCCAACAGCAGTTTTACTGGTCAGGACATGACAAGCAGATGCAAAACAAAATTAGCAAAGCGACAAGATTTAAGACGACATTAAAGTGAGTTTTGTAAGTATGACAGCAATTTCCCTGCAATATAACAAATTTGATCATTAGCATTCATGCAGACGTTGTTTCCCCCACATCAGTGACAACATTCTGAGAGTAAAAAACAAAACTTACTTTATTCACACCTAAAATGGAAGAGAATAAACAGAGTAAGGGGGGGAAAAAAATGTTTTGGTGTTATAAAATCTCCAGCCGGTGTTCTCTATTTTGTTTTACTTTATTTACAGACAAACGTCACAGGCACAAATCGATGAACACAGAAGATAACTTAAATATAGAGTCATTCGGAGCAAAATGACTAAACTTTGGCAGGACAACTTTTCCACAGTCGGCACACATTTTGTCCTCTCTTAGAGAGCTGTTTTTGAATCTTTCACATGATCGACATGTTCAGAACGCATCCTGGAGTTAAACGTGCACAGGTCTCATGCACTTATTTCGAGTTTTCCCAAGTAAACGACATATTATTGTCTAAAAAGAAGGGAATATTACAGTAGTTCAACCCAACAGCAGTTTTTAGAACATAGTACCTCTTCCAACTCCTAAATGCCTATTATTGGGTATAATAATATATACTTGAACTAATTTCTTTACTAACACCAAAACTTTTGTGAACAAAAGCATAAATCTTCAAAAACAGTCTCAGAACCAAATCTTGTCACATAAAATAGGAATAAAAAGGCTCCAATTTCTTGATTATCCACTTGTCTGAACAACATTGAAGTCCGTTCACAGAGTTAATCAGATTGAAAAGCAACATGCTCGTACAACATGGCCATTCAAATTATATTCAAAAGACGGATCGGACGGTTAAGGGAGCAAAATCACCAAGTTCCGGTTTTGATTCTGAATACTGACTAGTACTTTACAGTCCTGCTGATGGTCATGTGACTACAAAAACAAGTATGACTTAACAATACTAATTTAAAACACGCCACCAGGACATTTTCTGAGCTTGCTGCTTTGTGTAAACAGCGTAATGCTTTATATTTATGACCATTTTTCTGATCTGCTACAAATATCCAGCTCTTCGTTGCTCCTTTAAAGGAGTAGTTCACTTTAAAAAAAAAAAAAACTTTTGCTGATAATTTACTCACCCCTATGCCATCCAAGATGTCCATGTCTTTCTTTCTTCAGTCGAAAAGAAATTAAGGTTTTTGATGAAAACATTCCAGGATTTTCTCCAAATGATGGACTTTAATGGGAACCAAACGGTTCAAGGTCCAAAAGACAGTTTCATTGCAAACTGTTCAAAGGGCTTTAAATGATCCCAGACGATGAATAAGGGTCTCATCAAGCGAAACAATCACTCATTTAAAAAAAAAAAAATTAACAAAGTTTAAGTTTTATAAGCTCAAATGGTCTGTGATGAGCGTTCGTGACTCTCCTGTTCAAACTCGTTCATCAAAATGAACAAATCTTTTTTCATGTCATTTGGTTCATTCAATGAACGAAATGAACGAATTGACTTGGAAAAAGATTTGTTCATTTTGATGAATGAGTTCAAACAGGAGAGTCACGAACGCGCATCACAGAACAGAGCAAGGCGACCATTTGAGCTTATAAAACTCAAACTTGGTTCGTTTTTTTTTAAATGAGCGATCGTTTCGCTTGATAAGACCCTTATTCATCGTCTGGAATCGTTTAAAGCCCTTTCAACAGTTTGCACTTGGACCTTGAACCGTTTGGTTCCCATTAAAGTCCATTATATGGAGAAAAATCCGGGAATGTTTTCATCAAAAACCTTAATTTCTTTTCGACTGAAGAAAGAAAGACAGACATCTTGGATGACATGGGGGTGAGTAAATGATCAGTATTTTTTTTTTTTAAAGTGAACTACTCCTTAAATGTTGTTTTAAGCATTTACGCTATTTGGAATGACACCTCGACTCTTCGAAATCAAAAAGCACATGTTCTATCAACAGTCGCTAGAGAGGACAAATATATGAGCCAACCCTCTTTGATTTACAGTGCTACAGCTTAACGTAAAGTTATATCATTTTATACGTGCACACACACAAACAAGTACATTGTATAGATGTAAAATAAATACAAGTGTGCGCGAGTAAAGAGAAACTCTCAGAAACATGTACAAAACATGATCTGTTAAATAAAACCAAGTACTGCACGGTTCATCAGGCTTCTAGATTTTGCTCGGTGTAAAAATAACCGTTACTCTGCACTGTTTGCAGATAGTTAGAAGCTGACAACTGAAGAAAGAAGACCCTCCCAGTTTGGAAAACCCTACTGCCGTACTTTTCCGGGAATGTAGTTCCGGTCAATACTTTCATCCTGCAGGAACATGTGAAGACAGCGTTCGTTCTGGGCCAAAGGATGACCTGCAATTCTGAAGGGGAACACGAGCAAAATATGAATGTATGAAATCCATCAAAAGCCTCTTTAACAGAAAATGAAGAGGAAAAAAAAGGAACAATTATAATAAATTTGTGTAATTATTTCAGACCCTCAAATATTAGTAACTGGCGTCTTGTACTTTTATAATTTAGCAGTGTCCGTTGTGCATCATTTCGATGGCCAACCTGTTGATGAACTGTTCAAGCCCAGATCGTCTCTCCTCAATGAAGGACTCCTCAAAAATACCCTCATCTCCACGGAAGGGGAGCTGTCTCTTCAATGCCTTTCCAGGCAATGGTGGCACAACAATCTAGGAGATATTTTCATACATTTAAAAAATATATAAATTCATTTCTAATGGCTCAAAATGATTAAAGCGTTGCTGAAAAACCTGTAGAACACAATCTTCTACATGCCTTCTGATTTATACTTAGTAAGTAAAAGACATTTACATACATAAAGTCTAAATATTTCTATAAATACGTCTATATATTATATATTTAACGCTGAAAGTCGTAGACAGGGTTATTTTAGCGGCTGAACTTATTGTATATGCATTTGTAGGAGTTTCCCTTTCAGACACACAATTTATAGGAGGAGAGTATGTAAATGAATCATGAAATTATATTTATTTATAATTTACCCAGTTTAGTAAATCTGGCCCTTAGCATTTAAATATCATCTTACTAAGACATATTAATGAGAGATATAGCATAACAACTGACGTTTATATGCAAGTAGTCTACTTCAAAGTTATAAATATATCATTGATTTACATTACAAGCTAGCAGAATTTCATCTCACTTTTTTGACCAATGACCATACAAATATCAGCAACTGCACAAAATTGCATATTTTTGCTCAATTTGGGGCTCTGAATATTTTGTCTCTCGAGTGTGAACTCTATATTGTCCTATATAACACTATGATCCATAAAAGACCGATGTATCGAATATGATATAAAAAGCTTTTTTTACATACAATTTTATTAATATGTAGTCTAAAGGTTAAGTCTGATCCATTAAAAATAGACTTTTCTGGCATTAAAATATGGGGTTTTACAGTGTCTACATAAAGTCTCTCAAAGCTTTTTCATTACGCAAAATATTTTTATTTCTGTACAGAACATGATTTTTTTATGTTCTGCACTGTAAAGACAACCATTTGTTCAGTACGTGTATTTTTTGATGCAAGATGTTTTCTGCAGGATATCATACCTTGCTGTCTCTTTCCAGCTCATTCTTCAGCCACTCGAAGTCGCTGTATCTTCGTCTGACACACGAGTCCTTCAGTTTAAAAATCGGAAGATTTGTCTGGATTTCAAAGGAGAAAGCATAATAAGTCACATGATTGTGTGTATATATGCATGTATATGCGTGTATAAATGTATGTATGTGTGTAACGTTAAGCGATGATGCAAGGGATTCTCGAATACACCTAACATAGTTTGAAAGACATTATTGATCTGATAAAATAATATATTTGTAATAGTAAAGCATCCACGTTTATCTTAATGGCTAAGATGCAAGATAACCAAATCGGTTGTTGATGGTTGACGTTAACATAACAACAACAGCTAAATTAGCTCAATCTCAACCGTCCAAATTGCTTAAATCCAGCTGGTTTTCATAAGTAAAAAAAACTTTGTTCTATTAGATCTAAACCTGGCAATTCATAAAATTAAGCCATGTTTTTAAAAAACAGACGAGGGTAAGACTTTCTCTCGTCGAATGAGGTGTTAGTTAGCATGTTAGCGCGCAGGCTAACTAGGCCGAACCGAGCCGCAGCCTCTCTGAGACAGTCACACACACAATCACATTCATTCACTGGCCAGCCTACCCTCATCCGGACTTCATAGGTGGTGAAGCGATTGCGGCCGACTCCTATAGTCTGCGGGTCGTACACGTCGATTTCCAGAAAGTTGCTGGGAGGGCCGTAGGCGTCCGTCAGGTCCTGCGGCTTGGAGTTTAACCGGCGAGTATCGGCCACTGTGGGTTCGGACATTTTTGACGACTTTTTTCAGACTAACAACGTCGAGGTGTAGTCTATGGCACGTACGAATGAGATGGTTTTGATTAAGACATTAAATCGATGGAGGTTAAAATTGGGCTAGATACTTCTGCGAATCTAAAACTTGAATGTATCCAGTTCAGCAACACCACAGGAAATCCTGCGTTTCTCCCCGATGCGATGATATGTGTGTGCAGCAGTTTGGGAGACGTACTTCATGACCCACCCTACATCACCCTGCTAGCCAATAGAAGTTAGTTTTTATGATGACTGACAGGCGATTGACCTATAAGATTTGAGAAGACTGTGAGGGGGGTGGGCTCTTTAGGATTCCATAAAATTTCATAACAGAAGGAGAGACTGGGAAAAGGTGTGGATTGATTAGAATAGAAATGTCTGGATTTTAATAAAAAAAAATGCTCAGATTGCCAAAAACAAACATTTTCTTACACTTTAAAAAGTATTAGTACACTTTACACGTTTTGAAGTTGAGCATATGCCTTTCTTCGATTTCAGTGTTTTGGCAGCTAAGTTACGTGAGTAGAAAATGTTTATGGATGAATTTTCTTACTACTACCCAACTACTAGTATCCTGCTTTAAAACATGTTAACGTATAAAAAAAATAGCCTACATGGATCAAAAACATATATCTTTATTTTACCCCTTAAGTTTTAAACCAGTTTTATTTAGTGTAGTGAAAGTCTTGGGTACATATAGGCAACTCTACAGTGACAGACATGACAGCTAGGCCTACATAAAATATACAAAATACAAATATACACGGTTGGCTACATAATACAGAACGTTCACAGTACAAAATGTACACAATATGGCATTTTTAAAATACACAATACACAAAACTTATACATAATACAGAATTGAACCTTCAATTATTATCTCTAACAGTAGCCTACGATGCGGAGCATAAACAAAATGTTATTTTTGTCAGTTTTGTAGGCTTAATAGTTTTTTTTATTCAGTTTTGGTTTTAGTTAATCTAGTAGGCCTAGCTACGTAAGTGAAATAAGTTTTATTTTATATTGTGTTATATTTTAGTTAAGATTTGTTACATTTCAATATATAAACCTTTAATGAAGTAGCATGTTCAAATGGGCCTAAAGTTTTTCAACATTTTATTATATGGTGCATTTTGTATGATGGTCACAACCACAAAAAAATGAACGAAAGCCAATTATGCGTACTTTATTGTGATTAGCTAGTACTTGCATGTAAAATAAATAAAGTGTTACTAAATTCGCTTACATTAGCATATTCTGCATAGTTTTCCAAATTTCAGACATTTGTTTCACTCGTGTAGGCTATGCTAGCCATAAATGTAGTGGCAATTACGTGATTTGAATTTGTATAAAGACCTCTACCTCTGGAGGGTGCTAATAATATTTAGCATCAGCCACTATCCATGTTGTTTGTTGATGTTACATCCAAACCACTATGGAATCTGGATGATTGCATTTTACCCTTAGCCCTAACCCAATTTTATATGACAGTCCTCTTTACATTTTGTGTGTGTTTTTTAGGACACAAAAAGACCAAAGACCAGCTGGATGTCGTTGTTTGCCAGTACAGGGACGTTAACTACCTGACGAGCACTAGGACCCGTTCGGATTAGTAGTGATTTGGAGAGGTCTACTACACGCGCCCCTGTCAAAAGTGTAGTGTTGGCCACACGCGCGCGCTGCATAAGATGCGGGTGTACATTACAGCGAGGGTCTTCTGAAGCCTGAAAACGGAGTAGCCTACTCCGAAAAGCGCTCTCTTCGTCATGGAGATCACCGATTCCACTTGTAAGTCTGACATTTTATTCATCCGAAAAGCCTTACAGTTACAGTCCTCGAAATAAGTTAAACGGTAATGGAATAGCCTATTTTAACTTTTTAACATTAGCAAGTCATTTCTGTGTACCTGCTGTAAGGTGAATCAGATGTTATTAGGCTACACAATTCTCTCATTTATCGGGATAAAAAGGAAAACTCATCAACACAATTGCACAGTTTTGTTGGTGATGCAATAGATGGGTAATATCTTAATGATTGAATAAAGTCATGTGTCAAATTTATGTGAACGACACGAAATTTATGTTTCCTCCTCCTTAATGACTATAAATGTAAACAATGATTTCATATCATTAACTAATATGTCATAAAGGCATTTTCAATTATTACCATTTTAATATGGATTTTAGTGGATGTGGCATTTATTAAACTATTAAAATGTATTATTATGTCCTCAAGACATGTGTCAATCTTGTTATACCATCATAACTCCCCTCTATGAAAAAGATGCACAATTCCATGAAAAGCATAATGACATCATAATGACATCATCATCCTTTCAGCATGTGAACCCTTCAATAGGGGACAGTCTTGAATAGCCAATCCTGTTGTCACGATTTTGTACAGTAAGTAAAAGTTAATGATTTTCTAAAAATGCATTAACTTTTAAATGCATCTTTGTCTATTATGGATACGATCTTAAATGTATACTACACTTATAAAAAAACAATTAGTGGAATTAACCATAAGGCCCAGTGCAAGAAAAATATATATAACAGACAGTTCATTTTAACACCTCCTAACTATATTGAATCAAAAGTGCTAGACTATTCACAGTCAGTGTTGCAAAATCTATAAAAAATATCTCTCATCCTGTATTTTTCATGTCCCTAACTTTCCATTGACCCAGCTATCAGCTCCTTCATCCTGCTGTTCTTGAGCTGGTTGAAGGCCAGTTCGGCACGATGGCTATTCATGATCTGAAAGAAGACTTCCTTGCCTCTCATGCAGGAAATCCGCTTGAGAATGTGTTCAACTCTGAGTTTGTTTGCATGGATGCCAGGAAAAAACAGCCCATCAGCTACTTGTTGCTGTTTTTAGTCATGGTGGGATTTGGATATGCCCTTTTTTGCATAATTGTTTCTTGTGAGTAGAGTTTAGACATGAAGGTGGTGAAAACATATAGGATCTGTGTGCTCTTTAACCTTGATATGAATCATTTAATGCCACACACTATCGATCAAAAGTTTAAGGTTGGTAACATTTTAAAAATGTTTTTGAAAGAAGTCTCTTATGCTCATTATACATTTTCTGACCCCGAATTTTTGATCAGTAGTGTAAGATCATGGCACTTTGGCTGATATATGACAATATGTTTTGATGCAAGTCAAGACTTCATTCAAACTCCTAAAGGTGGGAGTGTGTGTGTGTGTGTGTGGGGCGGGGGGATCCTCCAGTTCCTTATACACATGGCTTACATCTATAAATACTCATGGCCAAATAGACAAAGGCTTCTCTCTTCTGCAGCTTGCGAGCTTGATGGGTCCGCACAGGCCTGATACTGTCTCTCACTCCAGCATTCCTCGGACTGAGTGCAACCGTCAAGGGCGGCTCTTGTCTGTTGAGAAATCACACAGGGTTATTACGATATAGAGGGGCCGGAAAGGTCTTTGTGTGCGACCCTGTGGGCCCTTCCACACTTGTGTCCTCAAAGAGTGGAAATCAAAGCCAGTCATCACAGGGCCTTGCTGTGGATGACCAACATATTAACCCTTCAATGAAAGGAGGTCAGATGCTGAGGCCCGGGATAAAGCTGGAAGAGCTTTTCCTAATTAACCTTCCTCAATCCCATTAGTCATACAAAGTAGTAGCCTAGATATGGGTAGGAGGAGCATTATGTCTGCAAGATGAGATTTGCTAGCGTGTTTTAAGTTTTTAACTGTCAAAAAGTCAGTGGGGTCTGAAACATTTTTCAAAATATTTTCTTTTGTGTTCCACAGTATAAAAGATATTCATACAGTTTTGGAACAAAACAAGGGAATGATAATTCTTCCAGTCCAGTCTTCCACTTGCTAGAGACTCATTTCAGTTTTATCAACTAAACTTAATAATGGTTTTCATTAATTGAAATAAAGCTGAAATATAAGAAGATATAAATACGGTATTAGATATTAGAACTGAAAAAAACCCTATAAGGAACTCTCCGACTTTTAGGGACTTTAGCTTATTCAGCATATCCCCCATAGTTAGATAAGTCCATACATACCTTTTTCATCTCTGTGCGTGCTGTAACTGTCTGACCCACCCACTGCTAGCCTAGCTTAGCACAAAGACTGGATGTAAATGGATACAGCTAGCATACTAATCCCAAATAAGTAAGCAAACATTTTCCTATTTCGGTGCGTCTCAGGTGCTGCGGTAATCACGCCGCCCGAGTAGCAGTGCTTCGCCTTATAATATAGTTCCCAATATTTATACGGTTAAAATATGTCTGTGTCTGATATGACCTTGTTATTTGTACACTCTGTGACTATACAAATCACAACATGTAAATAGGAAAATGTTTGGTTTATTTTGTCACTTATTTGGGATTAGGATGCTAGCTGTATCCATTTACATCCAGTCTTTGTGCTAAGCTAGGCTAGCGGTGGGTGCGTTAGACAGAGTTACAGCACGCACGGAGATGAAAAAGGTATGTATGGACTTATCTAACTCTGGGGGATATGGTGAATAAGCTTAAGTCCCAAAAAGTCTGAGTGTTCATTTAACTAAACAAACTAAAATTGAAATAAATAAATAGAAATATTAAAAAACTGTGAAATGAATGACAAACAAAATTACTTCATATATAAAATAAAAGTTAACAAAAATAATACAATGGTATATAAATAATAATACTAAAATGTCACTGGACTTAAACTGTAAAACAGGCATCTGATGAGAATTAACATGCTTGTGATAAGGGTGATTTTCTAAAGAAAATTTACCTGAAAGACCTTTTTCTGTTTACAATTCTAATGGCAGTTCTTCATTGCCTGTCATTTTAAAAATGCTCATTTCATCCAAATCAATCACACTAAATCACAGATTTCTCATGCAACGATCAAAGGTTAAATTGCTTGTTTAAGAGAACACTGATAGATTAGGATTGTGTAAAAAAAAAAAAGGTTTTACAGCCGGGGTTGTTGTTGGGTAGAATGTACAAATGCAACTCTCATGACCGCATGCCTTACGTCTTATGACTGTAGAAACAGAGAAGATATAGCAAAAGACTGCACTGTTCCTTTACTATAAACCCCATCTGGTTATGAACGGACAGTTGTCTTGTTCATTTTGATGTACTTTGTGCTGATGAGCCGGTTAGTCCTCTGGTGTCCGACTGGCATTCATTTTCTGAGGATCGTGCATAATCCAACTGCATAATACTTGGTTGCACATCTCAACTAGACTCTTCTCCAAGAGTTTTTTTCTGTGAGTGAAAACTGTCATCCCAGTGGTTTACAGAATCGGAAATATAGCATTATCCTTCAACCAGACAGACCTTTGTTGGGCTGTAAATGAAACATCTGAAATTTCAGTGGTTGCACAGAGCATGAAGTATACAATAATAAAACTTGTATATAAAATGTATATCGTAAAATATGAATACAATTCAGCATCAGGGTTGGAAAAATATCTATAATCTATCTATCTATCTATCTATCTATCTATCTATCTATCTATCTATCTATCTATCTATCTATCTATCTATCTATCTATCTATCTATCTATCTATCTATCTATCTATCTGTCTGTCTGTCTGTCTGTCTGTCTGTCTGTCTGTCTGTCTGTCTGTCTGTCTGTGACAAATTTGGTGTAGATTTAAATTTTGTATATAATTACATGTTTCAAAACAAACAATGAATAAGCATTTCAGAAGTTTAAAATTCTTTCATTGGCCAAAACACTCAATATATGCAAAAGGTCAATATTTACAGTGTTGACCCTTCCTCTACATAACCGCTAAAATTCACTCTGGCATGCTCAGCTTCTGGGCTAAATCCTTGACTGATGGATGGCGTTCCATTCTTGCCTTGTTCATGCTTAGAGTTTATCACAATTTGTGGTCTTCTGCCTGTCCATTCGCCATTTGAGGATTGAACACTTTATCTACGAGATTACGATAAATCTCATAAATCTGCTTCATCCTGATGGAAAATGCACGGATCCTCACCAAATTGCTCCTGGATGGTTGGGAGGAGTTTGATTCCATTCTTTATTCATGCCTGTGTTTTGGGCAGAATTGCGAGAGAGCCCAATCCCTTGGATGAAAGGCAACCCCACACATGGATGGTCTCAGGATGCTTTATTGTTGGCACAACACAGGACTCATGGTAGCACGGTAGACAACATTTCTCTCCGAAACGGTAAGAAATTAAATTAGATTGAATGGAGGATTTTAACTGTGACGAGATGATTGACAGGGCACAGGGCAGTTTATGGTGATAGGATGCATGCAACAGAGCGGTCCGTTAAAGATGACGCAGTAGTCTGTCCCAAAGCTTGCCTACTCTTTTGCTACACACTCAAAATTATGTACTTTTTCTTCACAAAGGGTGTAGTATAAGTAGGCGAATTGGGACGTAGGGTAAGTTTCCCTCGAGTGGGCGTGGTTTCAGCGCAGACAGCGCAGATTTTGATTACTTATTTTATTTACTTGGCGTTTTGTTTATCAATCAAATTTGGCTGGGTTGTGAGTGACCAACTCAGAACGCATATTTAATATTGCTTTAAACAGACTTTTCAAACGTTGATTTCCTAGTTAAAAAGTACAGATGACATACTATATTTATTTAAATTAGAAATTAATTCTGAATGGTGCAAAACGCTGCTCAGCATGTGTTCAGACATCCGTAATGTACTGTAACTGGTTACAGGAGGACTTTTTTCCCATGCTCATTAAGCCATCAATAACCATGTTGTCATCCTCAAACCCTTCATCCTTTCCCTTTCAATTATGTGGCCCGTTATTC